AAAAAAAACATTGAGAACTTTTTGCATAAGTAACAAATAGTCTAGTACTGGGAAAAGGTTGTGAAGATAGATAACAGCTAAAGAATAAAGTTATTGACTTGATCCTTAACTGTAGACTGTGATGGTCACACACTCGACTGCACTAGTGTTGGTTTGATGTGTTGTGTGAAGTTGTCGATGCAGCGATGTTCAAGTCATTGCTTTTATTCTCTCAGAAAATTTTAGTAGCACTTCACTGACCATGAAGGATGGAAGGTTTAGCTGGTTCGGAAAGTGGGATTGATCCGTATGCGATAATGTAGAGCGCTTTTTATTACTATGCCAAAACAGCTAAGGCATAATATTAGAATTATGATGTTAGTGTTAGCTGATTTTAAGACAGCTCTTATACATTATAATTGATTCAATATGATAGAATCAAAAATAAAAATGCAGAAAGCTTACATCTAGATTCGTCGGAAACGAAGGATTTCTTGGAAAATCATCTCTCATGTCTGTGTTCCCCGAACTTATAAGTAGTGCATCAACCTACACACTCTGGATTTAACCGGGCTGTTTTAATTTGACCTCAAATTATCCTACTTTATCAACTTCTTTCCTAATCATGTCCGTGATATTACTTAGTCCTTTCGGTTTTACAAATCGGACGATTTCAAGATTAACCATAATTCTAAAAGCTTCAATGTCGTCAACCTAAACAGCGAAAGTTAAAAGACAAGTAAGTCACAGAGATGAGAATAAAAAATACACCAACCTTATTTCGCATGGCACTAATGCATGCATCACTGTAATAATTCGGCAAAAGAACGGTGACCTAAAGCAAAGTACAACTTTGAAGACCCTCTTGAATACGGGCGAAGCACCTTGTGGCCTCGCAGTAGAAACATTGCCGTAGTTAGACAGATCGGTTTCATTGGAAGCACTTTGCAGGAATTCCAAAGCACTTTCGACGGATCTGCTATTTTACCCCAATGTACTGAGTACTCTTTGTCGAAGCATCCCGCAACTGCACTTCCATCTAAGCGAATGTACTCGTCAAATATTGGAGAGAA